GCTTTGCTGGCTACATCCATTCACTCGCTGTCTGCCTGGTCCTGGGTCCTTTTCCTCCATGTCTGACAGTCCTGCCATGTGATGCCTATATCTACCCTGCCTCGGGGGCTCCTCTGCTCACGCTCCCCTCTCTGCCTACCTCTCCACCCTGCCCCACACCCAGTGATTCTCACCTGAGGATCTGTGAGTATCATCTTTTGGAATGTTTTGTGTTTCCAAAAGAAAACATAAAAGAAAAGGGGTTTGGCTTTTGTTGTTGCTTTGAGCAGGGCACTGCTCATCCTTAGACATTTTGACAGGCCCCCCTTGGGGTTCACACCTATAGCCTCCCCTCCATTGAGATCCTCTCACTATCCTGGGTAGAACCACTGCTGTGGACGCAGCCGGCCTCCTCGGCTGCCTTCTCCCCGCGCCCACTTTTGGCCTCCCATCAATTGCTGTTGACCCTTGTTCCTCACACATCCTAGCACTAACCTCTTGGGACCACTAAGCCATTTTCATATTTCCTCATTGATGTACCTGACATGCCCCAAACCCCAGTCTGTATTCTGAGAATTTTTGTTTCAAACTCCCCCGACACATCCCTCCTAACTCCATCCTTTATGTCTCCCAGGCATTGTGACAGTATCTTTGGTGCAAACCTGTTGTCTTTCTTGGAGCTTGCCATCAGCCCTTACCCCTCCTCATTTCAGACCCATAACACCGGCCCACTGTAAAGCGCTGCCCCTGTCGTCCACACGTTCCTGTTTCCCACCAACCAGAACTTCCCCTTCCTCCTTTTCTTTCTCCTCTGTCCTCTCCGGGTGGATTTACTGGTCTTCCCAGTCCTCTCCTCAACCTGCAGTCATCACCCCAATACTGGACCTGCACTCAGTCCAGAAACGCAGCTAAAGATGCTTTTCTCAGTGTCTGGAGCTGGATCTCCCCCACAACCCCACCTCCACTCCCATCAGTCCGAACCCTGTCCCCCAATACCACCCTGTAGCACCTGATCTGCAGCCCAACCCCAGTCCCATCCTCTCCCACCTCCTGTCCCCACCTCCCCCTCATCCCCAGTA